TGGTCAGTCCACCCCTGGTCCCGATGACCCGTAAACTGACCATACACTAGTAACATTTTAGATGAACATTCAAACAGAAATTTGGACAAAAATTCTAAGTACATTTGATGACTTGAAAGATGTCAAAATTTGGTTTTTTTTTTTTTAACGTTCAGCCTGGGTTCACATATATGTGGCGCGGTATATCGCATGTGATTCGTACAGGAACCGCATCGCATTCCTGTGCCAATCACATACGATTTGTGTGCGGTGCAATTGGAGCCATACATTTTGTATGGCTCTAATCGCACCGCACCTGCACCAAAAAGGTGCACGACCCTTTTTTTGGTCCGCACTAGAATCTGATCGCATGGCTATTCACACCTAATATGATTCGATTCTGCACATCGCACCACGTTTTGCGGACCATTTCAGGGTGTTGTTAACTTAACATACACCCCCCGCAGCGGTTCGCATGAACGGGGTGCGATTCTGATGGGGTGTGGAATTCACAAAGAAAACGCTACTTAAATATGAACCAGGGCTCAATGTTGGAACAAATGGACTTTATCTAACAAAAACCACATAGAACGTTGGAGCTCATTCACATGTGCGGCAGAGACTGACGATCCTCTGAAAAGCGATCCACACTCGGATTCCTTTTCTGTGGGGCATGACAGGCGGTGAGCAGGCAATATATCGGCTCTTCACTGCCTGACTTAGGCTCTGTTCACACCAATGCGTTTTTTTTGTGCTTTTTGCAGAAACGCATTGCAGTCCATTTAATATGGTTTCCTATGAAACATGTTCACCTCTATGCTGTTTTTGAGCCACTGCATTTTTGGAAGGGGTCAGCGACTTTTTTAAAAAGCAAAAACCAGCGTTTTTGCTACAATAGAGTACAATGGAGAATCAGCTGAAATGCATGGCAGTAGGTTTTTGCCGCATTTTGCGCTTTGCATTTTTTTTTTTTTTGCCCAGCAAAAAAAAATCCCACTTTAAAGAAAAAAAAAGCTGAACAAAATGCAAAACACGGTAAAAATGCGTCAAAAAATCATCAAAAACGTGTTGAAAAATGCAAAACGAACTGCGAAAAGCACTGCAAAACGAACAAAAAGCAAACTACATTGATGTGAACGGAGCCTTAAAGCAGAACTAAGGGAATAACAAATCTTAACACCTAACCACAAGTTTGCAACTTTGACATGTGTTAGCAAAACCGTACATATCATCACAACTAATCAATGAGGAGTGCAGCGCTACAAAGAGTCATGAACAAGCTGAACCTATCTGCAGCAATTAAGTAACTAATGCCCAATACAATAATAGCAGGTGAAATGGATAGTCCAAAGAAATTATATTCCAAAACATTATAGGCGACTTCAATCAATGCGGGTATGATCCGGTATCCTGATGTAGAGATATAGGTAGATTGCCTACTCACCAGAAGCGCAATCTCAATGCGCATATCAAGATCACATGTAGCCGGGGATCCTGGGTGGGTGTTGCCCGGTGGTGCAATCCTCTGATGGTCACTCAATGGTGTGTAGGAAGGATACCGGTCTGGTCATAACGTACTTACTCCTCAGGTCTGCACCGATGCCTGAAATACTGGGGCTGAGGTGTGGAGGCTCAGTGCCACGTATAGAGAATAAAGGTGCTCATAGTGTAGTAATGTTAATAAAAGGTTTATTAACTCGAGTTAAGCAGAGTATACACACCGACAATGACTGTAGGTAGTGGTAGAAAGCTGCTTGTAGATAATGATAAAAGCACCTGAAAAGCACTGACCAGTAGAGATCATAGGGGAGCCGCCGGACCTCCTGATCCGGCGGCGTGACGGCAAGGCGTGCAAGGGCTCCTCCTAGACGCATTTCGTGTAAACACGCGTCTGCTGTAGGGGTGATGCCATTGTTTTTTTCAGGACACATTGGGCATTCATTTGCTGGTAAATAGTAATGGATATCTCCTGATTTTTTTTTTTATTACCAAAGGAAAACTGGCCCAAAATAGTAAAAAAAAAACCAACATTTTTTAAAATTCACTTGTATATTTCTTGCTCCTACCATAACCTACCACCAAAGAACAACCCAAATAATTTCTCCTGTTCCTGCTGATCGCAGCGATACCACATGTGTATGTTAGTTGTTATCTGTACCCATAGTACAGCCCAGAAATAAGAGTGCACAATTTTTTTTTTTTTTTAATCCTACCACTGATACTAATTTAAAAAAATAAAACAAAAAAACCCAGTCAAAAAAAAAAAAAAAAAAAGCATGCTGGAAAATCTAATTTACTAAGAATGCCTCACTTTTCGCTGATTTTTACCATACTTAAGTACAGCTTGCTCTGTTACTTGCAGTGCGTCATGCTCCTTTCTGAGCGTCTTTCTGGTCTTGCAGGTGTTATATTCTCATCGGCAGAAGCTGTCAGAGTTTTGCAAAGAAAAGGGCCGAGTATTGGACATTATCAGTGAGAACGCTCGGCCCCAGTCACGTGGACAGAAAATGCCAGGGGGCAGCACTCTTCTTCTTGGCCCAGAAAATAAAGGTACTGTGATATCGCTTGGAGAAACAACCGCCACCCTTCTGTTAAGGCGTTCATTTCACTTACTATAATGTAAGCTATCAAAGTAGAACTCCAGGAAGGAAAGTATTGCTTTACCTGCTGTGTGGCACTGACTGTGACAGGAGTGACTTTGGGTGGGGGGGGGGCCATGGAACACAGCCCCCTTTGGAGAGGTGGGGAGACCCTTGTCTTAGCTCCCCATGTCCCTATTATGTGTAAGTCACCCTGTGCCTGTTAGGGGTACAGGTAGCCTGTCCTAATATTGTGTAGACATGTATACGTGGGGTGTGGGGGTTGTTCATTGTTTACTGCCAGGTGGTCCCATTGTTCTATTGTGTCTTGCTTGTGCGCAAACTATTATGGGATGTATGTGTTTATGTGTATTGGCTTGGTGGGAGGTGTCTGCTGTGCATCTCTTGTTACTAAATGTATTGCCACGCCCTGTGTATATATCTTGTCTCGGTGTTAAAATAAAGCAGTCCCCTTCCTGTTTTAAGACAAGTCTGGTGCTGTCTCGTCTTGTATGGTCAGCGGTGGTGTCCGTGGACAAGGAAGCGAGAGTCTAACGGAAATACCCTAGTGCAGTCGGGGTCCAGTTCCGTTACAGTCACTTAGATTTCTCACCTAGACATGGTGAGGGGTTCCAAAGTTTATGGCTAATACAGAAAAAATAAATGTCGTAATTTTCTTGGAATTTGAAAAAGTTGTGTTCTGGATTGTAAAACCTGGAGGTTTTGTAGAGCTTTGCAAGGGATAATATAAAGGACATCTGACATCTGAGGTGAATAATGAGATCTGGCTACCAAATAAAATGTGGACCTTGGAATAGAGGATTTATCCCACTTAAAGTTCTACCAAGCCTCCGGGCTGCGGGACCCAAAACACAACTATATAAGGCCTGTGGACCTGTGGCCTGTTGTGTTTTGTGTCCTGGAGCCCAGAGGCTTTGTAGAGCTTGGAGAGAGATAAAGCCTCCATTCCTAGGTCCACATTTTAATTGGTAGCTAGACCTCATTATTTGTCTCAGATGTCTATTATCCCTGGCATAGCTTTACAAAGCCTCTGGTTTCACGATTCAGAACACAAGGGTTAATTTAAAGTCCTGTGAACAAATATTGAGGTCTGGCTACCAATTAAAAAATATGCTTTGTCCTCTCTGGCACACCTGGATATATTTTTAGTGTGCTGCAAGGACCTAGATTGGCTTAGGCATCAGTATAATACCGCAACTGCGTCAGCACACAGGAAATAGGTCACACGCTGCTTGATGGTGGGTAAATGAACTATTGCAGTACAGGCAAAAGGCAATGTATAGAACAATAAACAAGGCAGTGGGGTTGATTCACTAAAACTGGAGAGTGCAAAAATCTGGTGCAGCTGTGCATGGTAGCCAATTGCCATTTAGCAGCCAACTATTAGATTTAAGCTGGATAACATTGGGGCCTGTCTGTATGGTGGTGCACATGAAACTTAAGGCTGTACACAAGGGATGGCTGATGGGCTGTTAAGTAAGGAGCAGTCTCTATTGGTGTTTACTGTGGGCAGTAAGAAATTAGGCTGGGTTGTTCCGCTCATCACTCCTGGTATGCAACGGATCCAGTCCTATACATTTGGCGGTTGGTTGTCCCAGAAGGCTCAGTCCTCATGATTAGGGCCTCCCTGGCATAAGCACACAAGGCAAAAGGTCTTCCAGCTCTTGTTCCAGGACACAGCAACTTTCTATGATTCTCTTCGCTCTGTTTGCACAGTTCAAGGCCAGCACTCAGGAATCCAGTCCTTTATACAGGTCCTCCATGGCTCTGGATCAGCTCTCACACGTTCTCTCTCTCTCTCAGTGGTAACACAGACCCAGACAGAACCAGGTCTGCACTCTCTGATTCATTCATTCCCTGTGCTGCACTGCCCTTGATTGGTGCATTTGCCTGGAACAAACTCTCTGTCTTCCCCTCACCTGTGTGCAGGGTGTGCCTTGGAATTGTAGTCCTGCAGCCTGTCCACCCCATGGTACAGCACTCCCCATGGACGACATTTTCTATAGTCCTGTGCGGCTGCAAGCTTTAATCTCCATTTGCCTCTGCCGACACTTCAGAGCATGGGGAAGGAACAGTTGAAGTGGGCAGGGGATTACATACAGCCCACAGACAACCGTTCTGTCCCTGCAATGCGGGGGAGGGGGAGCGCTCTTTCAGCCAGCGGGCACCTATGCATACAGTACATGCTTTTTACTATATCTGCCTTGATAAGATAAGCTGAGTGGATCTTTTAACTTTAACATAATTGCAGCATTTTCTGTAGTAGCTCACTTATTTTCTTTGATGCACATTTTTTTATATTTTCTTTTCTGTCTGGAACACCGTCCCTTTACATGTTTTCTTTCGCTTTTCTTTTAAGATTGTCAGGCTGCCATAAAAGATGCCCTTTCAACGCGTAATAAATTCCGAAAAATGCAGCCTCCCAACTGGCAGAAACCGTTGGACTCTACAGAATTAAAAGACAGCGTGACGCAAGGACTCCGCAAAAAAGCAGAGGAGAGCTCCCGCATCCGGGTAATTCCCATTACTTAACAACAATATTATGGTCCCAAATTCTGGGACACAGTTAACGCTGCTAATGGTCTGCATTGCTTTCACCCACTTGCTGGGTGCCCAATTATGACCACCTTGCAGGTTGGTCCCATCCAGACCCTGCTTTATTATATGTGGGGACCACCCACTCATGGCTCCGATCCCTACCATTAAGGCCTTTTTGAGTTACTGTACATGTATAGTAACTCAAACAAGGTTGATGCTTTGATTCCGCTACATGGGCTGGGACACGGTATCGGTGGGACAGGCCAAGATGAGGGCAGGGTTCTCCTAAAGTGGAGCTCCACCCAAAAGGGGAAGTTCCACTTTAGGCCTTTGTCCCCCGCTCCCCATTAAAGATTGGCACCTTTAGAAAGCAGATACCCGAATTTGACAGGTACCCACTCCACTTCCGAAGTGGATACATGCTGGTGTGGCACTCCCATCCCTTCAGAACTTCAATATTCTCCTCTGGGGGTCCAGTAAGACCCCACAGTTGCTGGTGAGCAGCCTCTAGAACCTTAAACCACCTATTGTGTTATAATCTCCTTAAAGCGGAGCTCCACCCAAAAGGGGAAGTTCCGCTTTATGGACTGCTCCCCCGCTCCCCATTAAGGATTGGCACCTTTGGGGAGAGGGGGGGGAGCGAATTTGACAGGTACCCACTCCCACTTCCGGTCCGATCTCCTAGGCGATCGGAAATGGAAGGTGTCCTCCCTCCCTTCCTGTAGTCTTTTGGGACACGTGACAGGTCCCAGAAGACTACAGGACCATTCATGAAGTGCAGCGCTACTCGCGCATGCGCAGTGGGTACCTGGCTGTGAAACCGCAAACTGTCACAGCCAGGTGCCCACAGTGAAGATGCTGGCCTCCTGGAATACAGGACGGCCGGTGAAACGGGTTGCAGGGGACACACCATGGGACCGAGGGACAGGTAAGTGGCTGTTTTTTAAAAGTCAGCAGCTACAATTTTTGTAGCTGCTGACTTTTATTTTTTGATAGGTCGAGTGGAACTCTGCTTTAAGGTTCAGCACTCTTACATCACAAAGACTTTAAGAGACCTGAAATGGGAAATTTTGAGCTTTATGTCATGCAGAGTGGAGCGTTTACTTCCTCTTAAAGCAGAACTGCACTGTATGGGATAACCGCTCGTTTTGTCCAGGGGCACACAAAAAGGCTATACTTACCTGATCCTTCAATCCTCTGGAAAACAGCGCTCCCCCACGTCCAAGGTGGACTGTTCCTGCCATCTTCATGTCAAGAGCCGGTCTATGGGCCTGATGACTTATAGAACAGTCCATTCACAAGACCGCAAGCGTGCTGGGGGGGCAGGAGCGGCAGGGACCCTTCTTGCGCTTGGAGGATCGATCGACAGATTAGGTGAGTATATCTCATACTATTCCATACAGTGCAAGCTGTTACCCAGTTTTAAAAATGTATTTCTTCACTTCTAGAAATGGCAACTGATGTCTTTCAAGAAATATTCTGTTTTCATAACCAGTGAATAAATATTAATAAAATGTCTTCTATCAGGAGGATGTGACACTGGCGTTGGGAGACATGAGGAACATGATTCAGCAGCAGCAGAGGATTTACCAGGAGATGGAGGGCAGTTATCAGCTGCAGCTGGTATGTATGATGCAGAAAGTCAGATCAGGGTGTTCCCTGGTTCTGGCTCCACCCACTCCCGGGGTCATTACAGAATGTTGCAGGGGGGTGCTCAGGGTAATGGGTTAAGGAGCTTCAGCTCTGCCAAGGAGCAGTGTGAAAATCCTGTTGAGTCTGTAAATTATTTAAAGTGCTATTAAACCCAAAACCAAAATTATAATATGTAGCAGCTTGCCAATCAAAAGATGTGGTGGCGGCTGCATTCGTTTTCTTTTTTCCTTCTGTTTTCACCTGGTGATCTGGCCTGTAACACACCTCCAGTATTAGAGTGCCCCCACTCAGGATGAAGGAACACAGCAGGCACCTCTGGACAACAGTTTGGGGGGAGGGAACTGTTAGATGTACTAGCAAATTTAGATACACTAACAAATTGAAGCTGAGCTCCAGCTAATACTTTATTATCAGTTAAAGAAGTTTTTTTTTCCTATTGGAATAAAGGTTTTACACAAATAAATAAAAGCTGATTATTATATGCACTCCTGCCAGTGTTAAATGGTTTGTCTCATCACTAACTGCAATAACTGAATAGAGCTTGTTCTTTTGAAAAAACAACAGACTTACTGGCCAGATCACCAGATGAAAACAGTATAAAAGACAGCCTAAAAAAGAAACCTAATGCAGCCACCACATCTAAGGATCAGTAAGCTGCAATATAATAAATATTTGTTTTGGGGTTTATTACCACTTTAATCCTCGGGTTAACACAGGTGCAGTGTTTCCTGGGTAGCACAGGCTTGTTTGGATTGGCTGTTTCACTTGGAGTCACATGTCTGAACCGCTGAGTCCATTTTTTAAATTCCAGCCAAATTACCCCGGGCACAGGTTGGTCCAGGAAAAAGAACCTAACGCCAACAGGAAAGCATGATGCTCACATATAGGAGGGTGAATAAAAGGGCGGGGGGGCGTAAAGGAAAAGCATGGAGCTGTATATTATATGTCCAAAATACTAACAACAACTTACTAAGCCGTTCACAACTCTGTCCCTAGCTACATCACCAACCTGGTCTCAAAATGTCAACCAAATCACTCTCTTCGATCCTCCCAAAACCTTCTACTCTCTGGTCCCATGTCCCCTCTTCCCATGCTCACCTCCAGGACTTCTCCTGAGCTTCTCCCATCCTATGGAACTCCCTACCCCAATCTTTCCGGCTGTCTCCTAATCTATCCACCTTTAGACGATCCCTGAAAATCTTTCTCTTTAAAGAAGTCTATCCTGCTTCTACCTAGTAAACTGCCATTTATTTCCTCCATCAGCTCATCCCCCCACAGCTATTACCTTTTGTATCACTCAACCCTTCCTCCTAGATTGTAAGCTCTGATGAGCCGGGCCCTCTGTTTCCTCTTATACCAAATTGTATTGTAACTGTAATGTCTGCCTTCATTTTGTACAGCGCTGAGCAAACTGTTGGTGCCATATAAATCCTGTATAATAATAATTATATTATATAAGGAGACAATGTAGATTCCTTAGTAAATCTGTGTAATGTTACATGTATGTTCCAGGGTCCGGAGTCCAGCTTGGATCTATCTGTAAGAGAACGTCTAGATCGTCCATTGGTGAGAATTCTGCAGAGACACCCAGGAACCCAACTCCCCGAGAGCACCCTAATCTCCCAGGTACGGCCGAATGCCATTGGTGTACAATCACCGGACACTTTATTAGGTCGACCTTGCTAGTATCGGGTTGGACCTTCTTTTGCCTTCAGAAATACCTTCATTCTTCATGGCATAGATTCAACAAGGGGTTGGAAACATTCCTCAGAGATTTTGGTCCATATTGACATGAGTTACTGTTGCCTTTCTATCATATGGAACCAGTCTGCCCATTCTCCTCTGACATCAACAAGACATCTTCGTCCACGCAACTGCTGCTGCAAAATGCTCCTTTTCGGACCATTCTCTGTAAAACCCAGAGATGGTTGTTCATGAAAATCCCAGTAGATCAGCAGTTTTTGAAATACTCAGACCATCCCGTCTGGCACCAACAACCATGCCACGTTCAAAGTCGCTTAAATCCCCTTTCTTCCCCATTCTGATGATTGGTGTGAACTTCAGCAAGTCGTCCTCACCACGTCTAGATGCCTAAATTCATTGAGTTGCTGATGTGATTGGCTGATTAGCAATTTGTGTTACCAAGCCAGGATACTCAACCAGGGTTCCTCCAGAGGTTGCTAGGGGTTCCTTGAGCAACGAGCAATATCTGCCTCTCAGATAGGTTCCTGCTGACACCATTGATACTTTTACCTATCTATAGAGAGGGGTAATTCTTCTCAATGACCACAAGTGTAAGGAACGTTCTTCCCTCTGACCATCACACGAATGTATCATGACCTGTAGATACAGTAATTTTTAGTAGGGGTTCCCCGAGACCAAAAAGTCATTTCAAGGGTTCCTCTGTGTTGAAAAGGTTGAGAAAGGCTGTACCAAGCAATTGAACCGGTGTACCTAATAAAGTGGCTGGTGAGTGTATATTCGCCCAGACTAATATGTGTTTTCAATCAGTACATTGTTTCAGTACCCCCTGGTAGGTGACATGGGCTCACCCGAAGCGCAGAGCATAAGTAACAGTTGGCCCTCATTAGAGCTCCCTGCAAGGGGTGATGGTCCACAAAACCTTATGGCCCCCCATTTTTTTTTTTTATTTTGCTGAAAAATGGCACAAGGTTGGGGCCCTTAGAATAGCCCCAGCAAGGGGTTGCTGGACAGAAGGACTACAGTGTGGCAGTTGCACAAGACGGCAGACAGGAGAGTGGTCAGGTCAGGGATGGACTGACAACTCATGAGGCTCCCGGGCAATAGGGGATCATGGAGCCCCTGTGTCCTTGCCCAAACTCAAAAAAGCCTATGAAAAATGTACCAGGGGCATCTCATGGGGCCCCCTACTGACCCTGGGCTCTCGGGCAGTGCGCGAGTTTCCAAATGGTCAGTCCGCCCCTAGGTCAGGTCACGGCACAGGTTGAGGCAGGCAGCAGTAATCAGATCAGGCAATCCAGGTCAGCAAGAGGCAAGCAACAGTAGGTTGAGATTCATAGTGGGTGTTACCTAGGGTGGGTCTGAATGCAAATTTAGCCTTCTCTAGACTGACACCAAACCATCAAGGCATTTTGGTATTTGCTTACCCATATGGAAGAATAACATATTTGAAATATATTTTACAAATATTTTTCCCAAATATATTGCTATATATTCGAAATGCTATAATTTTTGCCATATTCAATATATTTCAAAATATATTGCAATAAATAAACACACACATATATATATATATATATATATATATATATATATATATATATATATATATGTGTGTGTGTGTGTGTGTGTACTGCATGTTGAAATTAGTTTTTATTACAAAATATATGAAAAATATGTTTAAAAATACATTTCAAATATACTGTATGTCATTAAAAATAAAAATCTACATTTCTGGATTGCATTTACAGATATATGTAAAAATATATGTCAAAATTACTTTTTTTATGCGTTAAAAAATCTGAAGAAAATACTTAAAAAAATATATTTTTAAAAATATATTCTTCAGATTTTTTTAAACATATAAAAAGTCATTTTAACATATATTTTTACATATATCTGTAAATGCATTCCAGAAATGTAGATTTTTATTTTTAAAGACATGCAGTATATTTGAAATGTATTTTTAAACGTATTTTTCACATATTTTGTAATAAAAAACGCATTTCAATATGCCACACACACACACACATATTTATGTATATTTATTGAAATATATTTTGAAATATATTGAATATGGCCAAAATTGTAATACCACATTTACCCACTACATGTCACTGAGGAGAACACTAAGGGCTCATGTACAGGGGGGATTTGGAAAACTCTTCTGAAAGATGGAAACTGCTGGAAAACGTAGGTTAAAAAATGTCAGTTTAGCCATGTTTGTATACCGCGTTTATGTGCGTTTGCGTTTAGAAGCATTTTTAAAAGATAACCTCAGGAGCCCTTCCCACATGCCCAGAATGCACTGAAAAACAGTAAAAAATTAACTATTTCAGACATTTGGAGAAAAATAGAGAGAGCAGAAACAGAGAGCAGTATGTGTTGAGATGACCTGTCTTTTCTGGTTGTATTCACTATGGATCCCATCATCAGCATAATGCGGCACGTTCTACCATTTTGTTCCTGGAACTGACTGCGCTGGTGTACCGGGTCCATTTGAATACATGGAAAACGCTTTGCATGCATTTCTGATAATGAAAAAAGGCTCTGGACAGCATCTGGACATGGAAGAGTTCAAAAAAAGCTTCTAAACGCAAACGCTTATAAATGCAGTAACCGCGTTTACAAGCATTTGGCGTTTGAAACGCCGGTAAAATCGACTGCTGAACGCAAGTTTGGTGCGTTCAAAAAACAACTGTAAACTCAGCTGCCTATAAACAATGTGTACATGAACACATAGGACAACATTAGGGAGAGTTCAGGGGCTGCTAAAAAAAACAAAGCTCCTGAACTTCAGTTTATCAGCTGCACTGTACATGAGCCCTTATTTCTTATGATAGTCAGCACCATCTAGTGGTCATACTGCATTATGGCCACTAGATGCCACTGACTACCACAGGAAATAAGCACGTTCTTTGGACCATCTAGAGGTCATAATGTAGTATTTCTGCATTCATAGTTGAACTGCAGTGAATATAGCCTAGAATCAATCGATTTTGCGCCATTTACACAGAACGAATTTTACATGCAGCTATTTCATTTTTTTTTTCTTTAACCTCCTCGGCGGTATGATTCTTTCTGATTTTTTGTGCTGAAAGCGGTACCATTTTTTTGCATGGAAATATGTAGTTTTTTTATTGTAGGCTGTAATTTTTTAGGAATAACTCGCTGAAATCTGTCTGAACAAGAGTCTATTAAACATCCCGGGTATGATAAAACTTGAAACACGAAATCATAAATTATAATTTAATAAATAATCATAAAAAATAATAATATAATAATAATAAATTTAATTCAATAATATAATCAAACCAAAAACACTGAAATTTGAAATATAGCGCCAAGTTCGCACATCGCTGAGCAAAGTCGCAAAATCGTTTTCAGTGTCTGATGAGGAATTTCCCCCACGAATCATTATCACTCAATTCTGCAAGTGGTTCTGATTTACTATCGCTGTTCTCTAGCCGGTCTAAAACCGCTTATGACGTAAAGGGATGCTTTTTGGACGCCATGGACGTTTCTCAGTTTCCAGGCAGAAAGAACAGTCAAAATGCAGGCAGGGCGCCGGACAAAGCACACTCGGGACAAAATGTATGTGAAATGCATTGAAACACCAATGACAGCAAAAATGACATTTTTTAAAAATGTCAAATTTCCTGCCGGAACAGTCACAGGGACCGGAACACGGAAGCCGGATGCCGGCATCGGCCGGAGGAGATGGCCGGGGACGCTGCAGGGGACACATCGCGGGAGCGAAGGACAAGGTAAGTGCTGCAGGGACCCCCAGAGCAACGCCGCATGGTAAGCCCGAGTGTAGCTCAGGGTTACCGCTCTTGGTACTCAAATTTTACCCCGAGCTACACTCGGGAACACCGCTAAGGAGGTTAAACACACCCTATATGTGTATAATACTTATAATGTTTTCTCCCCTTCAGGGCTCTGCTTTTCTGGAGCAATCTCTTAGTAAAACACAGGATAGAATCGGCTCTCTGCGTGTGACACAGATGAAGTTGCGGGATGATCAAGAGAACAAGCTGTGGGGGAGCGCCTTGACCGGGCCGCCGCCAGACTGCGAACGAAGAGCGCCAAGGGGCGGAGAGAGAGGCTGTGCTTGTGAGCGGGGAGGCAGCCAAGAAGATATTTCACTTCAACCAACAGCAACAAGGATGATGTGATATAATAAAAGCTATGATTAATGAGAAACTCCGCAGAAAACATTTTTGAAGGTTCACATGTTTATGGTGGCTGAACATTGAGATTTTTTTCAGCTTAGGCACCCCAAAGTGAGTGCGAACCCCGACTGTGCAGGATCAGCTGGTGTAGAGCTTTGTGCTAAAGAACAAAGTGTTAGCAGTATGGGTGGAGAGGGGAGAAGAATCCTGAATAGAGTAGGAAATGGACACCTAATTATACTGCGTACCCCCCCCCCCCCCCCCCCAATTAGATTCAATTTCAGAAAATTTGAATTCAAATTTAATCTGTTTGAATTCTGGAAGACAGTTATTTTTTTCTGTTCCATTCTATTGTTTTTTTCTATTCTATTATTCTATTATTCAAAATTTGAATTTCAGAAGACAGTTATATTTATTTTTTTTCTATTCTATTTTTTTTTCTATTATATTATTTTGTTCTATTCTTTTCCTTTCTATCCTAGTCTTTTCTATTCTAATTTATTCTATTCAAATTCAAATGTATTCTATTTGAAATTAAATTTCTGAAGGCGGTTATATTCTTTCTGTTTTATTCTAGTCTATTGGTTTTTTTCTATTCCATTCTATTTTTTATATTCTATTCTCTTATTTTATTCATGTATTATTATTTATTTCAGGTACTTATATAGCGCCGTCAATTTACACAGCGCTTTACATACATATATAGTACATTCACATCACTCCCTAACCCTCAAGGGGTGTACAATCTAAGGTCCCTAACTCACATTCATACATACACATACTGGGGACAATTTAGACAGGAGCCAATTCACCTTCCAGCATGTCTTGGAGTGTGGGAGGAAACCGTAGTACCCAGAGGAAACCCACACAGGCACAGAGAGAACATGCAAACTCCAGGCAGGTGGTGCTGTGGTTGAGATTCGAACCAATGACCCTAGTACTACCAGGCAAAAGTGCTAACCACTCAGCCACTGTGCTGACTATTCTATTCTATTATTTTTTTTTTATTATATTCCGTCCTTTTCTTTTCTATTTAATATATTCCTTTATTTTCTATTTGATTTATTTTATATTCTTGTTTTTGAATTCAATTTTGTTTTTCGAATTTGATTTCGTATTCAATTATGATTTGAATTTCAGGAGTAATCTTGTTTGTTATTTTGGATTCATTTAAATTCGATAGCATTTTAATTTGAAGATTTGGATACATCCAAATAACGAAAAAGTAGTCCAAATTTCAATTCAGAATGAAACGAACTGCACATGTCTAGTGAGTGGTGGAGCCAGAGGAGACACATATTTCATCACATCCGTATTCACAGCCGTCCCTCCCCGGGTACTGTAGCCAATCAAGCACAGTCTGTGGAGGGCAGTGGGACATTTGGGGGTTTATTTACTAAAGCTGGAGAGTCCAAAATCAGACTCCCTTCTGCATAGAAACCAATCAGCTTCTAACCTCAGCTTGTTCAATGAAGCTTTGGCAATGAAACCTGGAAGCTGATTGGTTTCTATGCAGAAGGGAGTCTGATTTTGGACTCTCCAGCTTTAGTAAATAAACCCCTTGGGGTCCAATAGACCCCTGATATCTCCATAAAGAGGACCTATCACCAGACCATGCTATCACATGGGGGGGGGGGCTTATTGACCCTCTTGTGATAGCGATAAAGCTAAATTATGCTCCAATTTTTCTTTTTCAATATTTTTATTAAAGAAATTTATGGAATACAACAGGCTCATGATACGCCACACAGGGGCAGAGTGGAACAAAAGCATACAAAAGCAGTTACAAATCAGCAGAGTGTATTAACCAGGTAATGGAATGTCCACGAGGGCAGACTGACAATTTGGGGCCCCGGTGTCAGTAGGGGCCCCATGAGGGGCCCCTGGTGTCCTTTTTCAAACTTTTTTGAGCCTTTGAAAAAGGACCAGGGGCATCTCATGGGGCCCCCTACTGATCCCCTATTGCCCGGCAGGCCCGAATTTCCAAGTTGTCAGTCCCCCCCTGGGATTGTACAACGGCCCCAAGGGGAATGGCAAAAAACAAAACTAAGGCATATCAACAGTATTCCACCGTCTTACCGAAACAAAACAAAGAGGAAAAACTACTACCGAGAAGTATCAACTCAAAATGGTAGCGAGACATAAAACGAATGAAAAAAAGAAGGTATAGAAAAATAAAAAGAAATAAAGAAGGGAGAAAAAATTAAGGAAAAGTAAGAATCACGGATCCAGGATTGCAGCCCTTCAGTGGATTGCTCTGGTCGCTGTCGCTGACAGGGCTTCCATCTTCACCCAGTCTTCCTCCCGGGTTCGCGGGATGCGGCATCTTGAATGGCCCAGCCGCGATGACATCACACGCCACGTCACAGTGCTCTGAAGTCACGGCACACGAATGCCATTCTTTCGGAGCGCATGCACTGACTGCCAAAAAAGAGTGAATATCTCTTAAACAGTGCACATTCAGGAGATCTTCATTTTATCCACAGGTAAACTTTATTACAAGCTCACCTGTAGGCAAAAAAAAATCACAAAACTGACTTTACTGCCCCCTTTAATTCTGCTTTTAGATTATCATTGTCACATCGTCGCAATAAAGTTTATTCAAACACACCATGGCACTACCGCCAAACACACGGCTTTGCCAGCACTAAACATGTCTCCCGCCGCACTAAGGGTACGGCCGCAGCCTCTTCAAAGATGGAAGCATGGAACTGACGTTTGCAGCCGGCTCCCTTAACAAAGATGGCGCTCTATGCACCCTCTCCGTTCTTGATGCTGGGACGACGGCGCTCTGCTAAGTGTGGGGCACAGCTGGCGGATGAGGCCTAAGCGGAAGTGTGGGCCCCTGTATAATCGAGCAGGAGACCCCGCCCCGGCCTCTTTCCGCTCTGAGCTCCGACCGGTTGGGACTGAGGTGTGCGGACACGTGAGTGATACATGAGGATCCCGGGGCTCCGGCGGAGCGGGACGGGTGGGATGTGTGCGGGGGGACGCCGGGAGTGGAGGAGGGGGTCCGGGGACACACGTGGTGATGTGTGTAGAAGACTGACACGAGTCTTGTGCTATCCAGCCTCCTCAGTCCGGGGCTGGGGGGTCAGGACAGGCCTGTGTGGGATGTGCTGGGAATGGGTGAGCACATGGTTCTACACCAATAAAGAGAACCTGTCTATGGCTTCTACATGGCTCTATTCCTGATCTGTGACAGCACAGTGTCCCTCTCCCTCACCATATTCCTGATCATGTGACATTGTGTGCCCCTCTGCCATGTGTCCAGTCCTCACCACCATGGAGGGATCTGGCTGTGTGTGTTGTCACCTGATCCGACAACCAGGCCCCCCCCAGCCAGAACACAGATCAGTGCTCGCAGCCATTGGCTGTAGGCGCTGATCGGATGCTGGATTTTCAGCATATCCCTTCATCAAAAGCTATCCCTGTGACTGCCTTGTGTTGGACAGCCGGCTGTACACATCTGAATGTCAGCTGCCCAATCTTCAGCCCACCATACAGATGAATTCTGCTTAGCTCTCTTGTCTCCTCCCATGCTCGTCTCCAGAGCTTTCCCCATGCTCTGGAACTCTCTACCCCAATCTATCAGACTATCGCCTACTCTGCCCACTTTTAGGTGTTCTCTCTTCAGGAAGACTATCCTCTTCAGCTAATAACCGAATGTTCTATTCCTTCTACCAGTCCACTGACCTGATATCCATCTACCACCCAAAACGTACTCTCCACTCCTCACAAGACCACCTACTCTCTAGTTCCCTGGTCTCCTCCTCCCATGCCCATCTCTAGGACTTCTCCAGGGCTTCCCCCATCCTCTGGAACTCACTACCCCAATCCATCAGACTGTCACCTACACTCCTCACCTTTAGGCGCACCCTGAAAACCCATCTCTTCAGGGAAGCCAACCCCACCCTCACCTAACAGCCGATCTCCTCCGCTCTTCCCACCACTCCATCCCCCACAGCTGTTTCCTCCCGTACCACTCTCCCCTCTCTCCTAGATTGTAAGCTCCCAGGATCAGGGCCCTCCTATCCCTCTTGTATTGAACTGTATTGTTGCTGTATTGTCTCCCGTTATATTGTATAATAATAATAATCCCCATCCCAGTCTGATCCCGCTAGGAAGTGTTCAAGCAGCCAAGACTATCTCTGCCCCGCAGTCGTGTGTAAACATGCCCATAGGGACTGATTACGATTGGCTGTGACGGCTTCCAATCAGCTGCCTCTCTGCGAAAAGCGATCCACCGCCTGTCAAGTGCCAAAGACATTTGCGTACTTTGGAGGTGCAATATGTGGGGGGAGGTGTTAAATTTTTTTGTCGCAGTCTACTTGTCCTGATAAGAATTCTAACCCAAACTGTAGTTGTTATGATTTATATTATTATACAGGATTATATCGCGCCAACAGTTTTGCTCAGTGCTTTACAATATAAAGGGAGACAATACAGTAACAATACCGATCAATACAAGAGGAAGAGGAGGCCCTGATCCTGGGAGCTTACAATCTTAAGAGACCACTTGTCCTCCAGAGGATTCCCCTCCTTCCTGACCAGGCCAATAGTTACCATACGGCGCTGTGTTAGTTTAACTGACACTCGTGAGGTATTGCAACTCTGCACCCAAATGACATTTTTAAGTCCCCCCCCCCCCCCCCCCCCCCCCCCCACCCCCCCCCCCCCCCCCCCCCCCCCCCCCCCCCCCCCCCCCCCCCCCCCCCCCCCCCCCCCCCCCCCCCCCCCCCCACCCCCCCCCCCCCCACCCCCCGCCCCACCCCCCCCCCCCCCCCCCCCCCCCCCCCCCCCCCCCCCCCCCCCCACAAATAGAGTTTTATTTTGCTGATGTTTGATCGCCTGTGCGTTTTTTATTTTTTGAGCCATAAACGAAAAAAGGCCGGCCATTTTGAAAAATAAAAACTATTTTTGACCGTTTGCTATAAAACATC